ACAACTCTCAGAAGTTGAGAAACTTGTGCGAGCTAAGGACTAACGAGGTCTTACCTTTTAACGTGTGATTCCTAACACGGTTGCAGAATCATCCCAGCTTCAACCAGATAAATTCTCTCGAGAAAAATATCTGGTCGAGGCAGGAATCGAACCCACGGTCTTCCGATCGTGAGTCGGGCGCACTACCACCGCGGCCAATTCCACAACGAAAGAAAGCACTATTGATATTATTCAAACTACGAAATACAAGCATTAATGCGCTAAATAGTTTTGAATTGATTGTAGTTTATTGTAGTGACAACACAATATTAATTAATTTATATATTGAGTCACTACAAACTGTATATTTGTAATTTCTATGCCGGTGTTGATGACTATGCTTTGCTTAATATGATTTAATTATTTTCAAAGTTATTTGGAAGAATAAATTATTTTACCAACCCTACACTACACTACAGTAAACTACAAATGATTTAATACTTATTTTTATTTTTTGTTGTATTATTTTAACTGGCGAGGTCATCTTTTTCTCGCATTTCTCTCACGGAGTTAAACGGAACTATCCTTGTCTTACTCACTTCATAAAGCAATTACAGTTTCGATTAGCTTAGGACAAAAACTGAAAATTTCAAAAAATTGCTCTTACAGAAAATAGTTTATCAAATTGTCAATCATTTGTAAGAGCATTTTTACGAAATTTTCATTAGTTTCGCTGGACCAATCGAAACTGCAATCACTGATCTCGCCTTTAAAAAAAATCTCTTTATTTAAGATTAAAATTATTTATTGACACTACTACAAACGTTATAGAATTTAAGGTTAATAGATATTTTGAGAGTATCGACTAATTAAATACTCTATTTTATTTCATGCATTTCTGATGAGTTTAATGGTAAATACAAATATCTAAATTCAGCTACAAGAAACTCCTTCGTTTGTAGGAGGACAATTGTTATTTTATTATTTGAAGTCTTGTTATCGTAACTTTTTTGCTATACTTCAAAAGAATATAAAATTCAGCTACAATCAACTCCATCGTTTGTAGGAGGACAATTGTTATTTTATTATTTGAAGTCTTGTTATCGTAGCTTTTTTGCTATACTTCAAAAGAATATAAAATAAATTAATATTGTGTTGTTACTACAATAAAATACAATCAATTCAGAACTATTTCAAAACTTTTTAGCGCATTATTACTTGTATTTCGTATTTTGAATAATATCAATAGTGCTTTCTCAGCAACTGATAAGACTACCAAAAAATGAACTCTACTACATTCATCAGCATCGTTTGAAGTTAAAACTAAACAAAAAAGGCTTTTTTTTGTTCTTGATTCACTACAAATGCACTTGAAAAATAATCGATTTCATTTCATTCATTTTTGATGTGTTTAATCTGTTTAAAATTTGTTTTTCCGTTAACCAGCTGTCGCATCCCTACGAACGACAACCCTCAGAAGTCGAAACTTGTGCGAGCTAAGCATATACGAGGTCTTACCTTTTAACGTGTGATTCCTAACACGGACTAATGGTAACTACAAACATCTAATTTCAGCTACAATCAACTCCATCGTTTGTAGTTTGAAGACAAATGTTATTTTATGATTTGTAGTCTTGTTATAGTAGCTTTTTTGCAATACTTCAATAGAATATGAAATATAATAATATTTTGTTTTTACTACAATAAACTACAATCCATTTTGAACCTATTTCAGAACTTTTTGGCACATTATTACTCGTCCGTCGTAGTTAGAATAATAATAATAGTGTTTTCTCAGTAACCGATAAAACTACAAAAAATGAACATTACTACATTTATTAGTAATGTTTGTAGGTAAAGTAGGCTAAAAAAAGGTAGATTTTTTCAAAGTGCGTTCCAACTTGACGGAGCTACAAAAGCTTCCATTTATTGTTGAAACCATCGACATTATTCATTCGTAAGTTCGTTAGCGATCCTATGCGGGCGCCAAATTAATCAGTTGATTGAAGTTAACTCAAACAACACATAATATCAACAAATTGAATACATTGTGATGGTGAATTGTAGTCTACGAGATGACGCTATGTCATCTATTAATATCTCGACGTGACTTAATTCTGTTTACACACTTGCTAGTTGAAACGAACCAAAATAAACGACACAATAAACTAAATTCATGTTATTGATTGCGTAAGAACGGCACCTTATCCATATTAATACTCGTATCATCGAACATAATCCAACCTGCCATAAATTATTAATCTTGATTCGCCCTGACCGAATGTGAGAGTTACTCTCCGCAATAATCAATCATCAACAAATTCTCGACACATTGGTACGACTCGTTTCGGCTGGAACGGATGTGCTGTTAGTAAATTTTTTGTTTTGTTTTATATGACTATTGTGGGAACCGTCTAAATTCGTGTTAGGTCGCTGGCACGCTAGAGGGAAAAACTCGAAAACCAAAATGCTGGGTAGGCACCACGCCAGACATATCTTGATTTCGTATCGCCTGTCTGCGGGTCACGTGACGGTTTTCGGGCCATATTACTCGTGAAAATTTTCGCGACAAGTGACGTTGTTTTGAATTTGCCGCCCGGTTCGTTTTAGATTTTTTTTGGCGGCGATGGATCGTTCTATGTACGGGAAATACGTGCCTGGTACTTTGAATCCCTACCAGTGCTCCAAGAGAAATGGCACCTCACCTGGATGTAAGTTAGCTTCATTGTTATGGAAAGTTTCTTAGTTATTCTAGTTTCCTTAGGACTGCTGCAGTGAAATCTGGGAAACGTCACTACTATGTCGGATGTACAGGGAGATTTTATTCATATTTTTGTCTGCAAGGAAAACTTTCCATGGTTTTGTACAAATTACATTGTTGGATGCGATTCAATATCTGAAATATTATTCAGGAATGTTGATGTTTTCTAACCGGAAGATATTAATATTTCGTATTTCACGAAAACAAAATCCGGGATGATAGGCCGTGATCGAGACTGCGAGACTCGCAGTCAACGCACATACTACTGATGATGTCTGCGGCAATAGCATTCAAAACGTTTTGTCCTAAAAGATTCCATTGGACCACGGCTAATGTTCTTAAACTTCGAATTTTTAGAGTAATTACAGTTCAATATATTGAAAACGAAAAGAAAGAAAGAAAAACAAAATTTATTGCCCAACAGATGAATCCATTTACAGGACAATATGCAATATAATAGTGCAGTATAAATAAAGGCTACTCAAACTAAATATATGAGGCACATAGAATAATAATGGTCTAACTCCACACAAGTTAATTTCTAATAATTAGGCTAATTATAAAAATTCAGAAGCCATCTTATTTCAAGCCAGCTAAAGTGATATCCATTCGTAGTAGTTTTCCGATTAGTAATCAAATTTATATTATTATATGTTATAACAAAAGATTGACATATTAAGGATTTGACAAATTAAGAAATAAATTCACATATATGATCCAATTAAGAAAAAAGATAACATTAATTAACTATTATTTGTAAACAACATGAAATGAAGACAGTAAGCTAGATGATGGTGTGTTCAATTTTGGGTAATTTGGTCTTCAGTGGATCGAAATTAATATCGCATTGACTGCAGTGGGTATTATAATTTTCACACATCAAATTTGTAGGAGATACTTCTCCAAGGTTGGATCTAATAAAAACGGTATAGAAAGTGATCTGTCTACGTGTAGTAGCTTGAGTTAAGTTGAAGGTAATTAATTCTAGTAACGAGGGTGCATCAGTGGAATAATGCAAAATTTTGTATAACATAACAATACTTGATGAAACCCTACTTTGTTCCAAGGAAGCCAGACCGAATCTTTGAATTAGTGTGGAGTGGTCAGTTCCTCTAACAGGGCACATGCCGTCAGTTCTAAATGCAAAAAACTTCCGAAAACGCCTTTGCACATTTTCCAAGGTTTCCTTATGTACATTTTAGAACGGATACCAAATCAAAGTAGCATACTCTAACTTGGAGCGAATGAGAGACATATCTTTATTTTGTATCGCCTGTCTGCGGGTCACGGGCTATGTATAAAATGTGGTTAAGGCATTAATATTGGTGAATGATTTACAGTTGCGCAGAACAAAGCCAAGCATTTTTCTAGGCGATGCCGCGACAGTATTGATGTGGCCAACAAATGTCAAGTTGCTGTCGAACGTGACCCCTAGATCTTTGACAGCTTCTTCGCGAAGGAATATTTCATCCTCGAAACTATAAAAATACTCAATAATATTGGCATTATGTGTAAAAGAGCAAACTTTGCACTTTTTAACATTCATTGCCAATTTATTGATTTGACACCAGTTAAATATCAGGTCTAATTGAGACTGGAGATAAGAGCAGCTCTTTAAAATTGTGATAGATGAAAATATCTTCAAGTCGTTTGCAAAAAGTAAGTTGCAACACGAAAGCTCGGAGGTGAGATCATTTATGAAGATGATGAACAGCAGGGGTCCCAGATTGGAGCCTTGTGGCACACCGGATAATGATAAGCACGGTCCAGATGGTAATCCATTATAAAAAACCAAATTGGTTCCCTGATCCAAATAAGAGCGTCGAAGTTGAGTTAGTGAGAGATTTGAACCCATTTGAGCTATTTTGTCTAGTAAGATGGAGTGACTAATTCTGTCGAAGGTCTTTGCAAAATCTGTGTATATAACGTCAACTCGTCCTTTTCTGTCCATTGCTTCTATCAAAAACTGCTTGATACTGCAAAGATTGGATACAGTGGAACTATTTGCTAGAAAGCCATGCTGGTTTGCAGAGATCAGGGGTTTGACTTGTGGCATTAGTTGGTCATACACAGATATCTCAAAGGCCTTCGCGAAGTTACACAGAATAGATATTGGTCTATAGTTCTCAATGTTCTCTGGGTTTCCTGATTTGAGAACTGGACAGATTTTTTATTGTTTCCATCGTTCAGGAAAATGAGATTTTCTAGGATTGTGTTGAATATTTTTAACAATAGACAAGCAAAAACCTGAGCACAGTCCCTCGTTAGGAAGCTGGGAATAAGATCATATCCAATAGTGAAAGTATTACTTGTTCATATGTGAAAGGTGTTATGAAAATATATTCTCCTGTCATAGTATCAGAGTTGGACTCAAGATTTGTATGGTGGGAGAAAACACTGCTAAAGAACGCAGCAAAACCGTTTACTATGTCTTGAGGGGCATCTAGGATGGTATCTTCCATAAATACTCTATTGAATATTCTGGAAGATTCTTTTTTGCGTTGAACGAAATTCCAAACGCTTTTGGGGTCATTGCGAACGTTTGATTCAACAGAATGTTGGTAGTTATCATAAGCTACACTTATTTGGTTTTTGATGTAACTTCTGATACGAGAGAAATCTTGGAAAAATCTGCTGTTGCCAGTTTTTTTACAGCGTGATAAATAATACGATTTCAATTTTAAACAGTAAATAATGTCCTGCGTGTACCAAAAGGGAAATTTTCTCTTTTTGTTTTTATACCAGGAGGTAATAGATATCAAAAATACTATACAGGGTGTAACTGAATAAGTGTAAAACATTCAAGGAGGTGATTCCTCATCGAGAAAAAGATAGGCCTAGTCAATGAAGATTAGGTGTTGATACAGTTCTTGGAAGTTTGCTTTCTTGAAGTTGTATGATTTATTTTGACGATTGGTGGGAAAAGCGTAAGAGTTTACTTCAATCACATGTAAATTTATAAGGAGAGAAGGGTGATATTGATCCTCATCAACCAAAGTGAAAGTTTCCTTATTAATTTAAAGACGCATATCGCTGATCACTGAATCTAGATGTCTCCCGAAGGAGTTCAGGATATTGTTACATTGAGTCATATTTGTAAAGTCTAGAAAATTTAAAATAACTTGAGCTTTGTTATCATATACATTACTAATAGATAGATATGTTTGGAACATTGAAGTCACCTATGATGATATCATTTTGTTGGAGGGCCACTATTTGTTTGAGTTGCTTCATGAATATATTGATGGATGGAGAAAAAAAACTTTCTATGTGTTTATACCACTTGTATTTGTAACTAACAAAACTGCAGTTTCGTCCTGTAAGGACATTTTCAAAGGAATTGAAACAGCAGTAACGTTAGTTATAAATACAGAAAATTAATAATGCACGAAAATTTATATACATACATACATAATTCCTCTACACACCCTTTCCAGCATAAAGTAGCTGCATTCACTAATGTGCTTCACCGACTATTGAATATTCCACTGTCGGAAAGTACTTTTTAGTTTCATCAAACAAATCGCTGTCAACAACAGTTACCAACTCCATTCTTTCCAAAAAACTAAAAAAACAAGCCATGGACCAGGTCGAATTTCCATTGCAGCATTGCGAAATTATTCCAGAAAAACCTATTTTGCAGACACTTTTTTGTAATTCACCACCCATATGTCGAAAGCAATTAAGTGAATTTTTTTAGGAATAGTTATTCAACATCACTATCATAATTTCTGGAATCTCAATTTTCCGAAATAATATATAGGGTGCTCGGTAAAACGGTCAAGTTTAATTCATTTTCAAACAGATATAATTTAACTTTTTCAAATGGAACACCCTGTATTTTTTCTTTGGATGAATTGTTTCAACATTTCACTATATTTTTTATCAGGTATACTATACAAAAAACTGATATTTTATAAATTATACCAACTTTTAGTAATTGTTGTAACCACAAAAATGTATCTTCTTACGTTCACTTCCCCAAATTTGTTTTTCGAATATTCAAACTAATCGCTAGTGCATTAGCATTTTTCATACCATCTAGTGATAGATATCAGCGGTTTCAACGGTAAGAAATACGTAAAAAACCTAAAAAATATTCATATTACTTTTTTCTTTAAAAACCCACTTATCCATGACTGACATCAAAAAATGAATCTCGGAATTTGTCAATAACGCCATGTGTTGAAGTTTCTTTCTCGTGTAGATTGAATCATTTTCATTATGAATTATGTACTGTAAGATATGCTCTGGAGGAAAGTGTCGGAAACTGCCTCCTAGCATCTAGGATTTACAAAGAGAAGTTTCCCGAAAGAAGATAACCAGGTGGAAGGGCATTTCAGGCTCTAAAAACTAGATTTGAAAGAACTGATAATGTCAATCACGAGAAGTTTGAACGTGTCTGCCCTGTAATAAATGAAGAGTATACACTTCAAATAGGGGGACATTAGAGAACCCCAATAACGATAAATGGAACTTCAATTTTGTGCATTTAGAAACTTGAGTTTCTAACAACTTGACCATGCCACACAGCCCCCTACGGCTCTAAAGAATGATTCTCCACAGCCCCCTACGACTGTGATGAATATATCTAATAGACCAGAGCTTCGGAAAGGATACACCGAAATATGTCCCGTGGGGTCCAATAGAATTATTGGACCCCAAGGGACATTTCAAATTGCTCTTTACCTTGATGAAAATCCCCATGTGAGTACCCGAGACCTGAACAGGGAATTAGGATTTTCTCAAACCAGCGTGTCTCGAATGATGAGAGCAAGAAAATTTCATCCTTACCACGTGTAATTGATGCAAGAGTTGAGAGAAAGAGATTTTGAAAAACGTGTCAATGGGGCTCAGAAAAGATCAATTAGGAAAATTATTTTTTATATTTCGTATTATTTTCTGATGAAGCGACTTTTTATAAAAATGTAATTGTGTATCGGCATAACA